ATAATTGTTTTCACATCAGCCAATAAACATTTATTAAGGCCTACTTTGTGACAGGCACTGGGCTAAGCACTTGGGATACAAAAACAGAGGCAAAAGACAGTCCTTGCCCTCAAGGAGCTCACAGTCTAATGTTTCTCCCATTAGACTATGAGATCCTTAAGACTGTCTTTTATCTTTCTTTGATTCCTCTGAAGCTTAGCATATAGTAGGCATAATATTTGCTGACTGATTGTAGGTGGTACTATTATCACCATTTTATAGATATGGAAACAGAGAGGTTAAGGAACAAGGTCACATGGCTAGTGTACAACTTAATAAGAATAATCAATAAATAAACACTTATTTAGTGTCTACTATATGCCAGGCACTATGCTTAGCACTTTAAAATTATCTCATTTGATCCTCACAACAACCCTGAAAGGTGGGTATTATTATTTTCCCCATTTTACAGATGAGAAAACTGAGTCAAATAGAAGGTAAGTGACTTGCCCAGGGTCACACAGTGTCTGAAAAAGAATGTGAACTCTCTTCCTGATTCTAAGTCTAGTACTCTATCCATGACACCACCTAGCTACTCCTGCAACAGAACAATGTTCTAGCTCTAAACTTTCCCTACTCTTAATATATGGCCTGTGTTAAAACTACACTAAGACTTTTGGGACACAAGGTAAAAATTTTGACAAGTATTATTTATATGCAATCACTGAGGCTTGAACATTTTAGGAATGATGTACCACTTGATCATTTTCAATAATCCAAAATTCCAAATAATATTTCTCTGTGCCTCAGTTTTTGTACTCATACAACATAATGGAATCATTAAATACATGTGGTAGATTTCAAAGAGAAGGCTATATGTGAAATATTTTCCTTTCTCTAAAACAGTTGTAAAGATTGTTAGTCAATGAAAAAAGTACTTCCTCAACTTCAGTTTTACATAATTAAAAATGTAAAATAAAGAGTGCAAAGGGAATTTTTTTAACACTGTTTCATCAGAGATGTGTATGCATATCATCATAAAGTACTATCACCTCTTTTATTGTGTAACTAAAATAAAATTACTTCAACATAAGTTTTATCACTAAAACAAAAGTTTATCTGTTACCTTTGAGTTCAAATGGGAAATTATTAGAAAGCACTAATAGGAACTACTATATAAAACTCAAATTGTTTCTAAAAATGCAACCCCCCCCAAAAAAAAACCCTCTCTCTGATAAAATACCTAGCATTTTCTTAGGAATAGTAGTGAAGAACAGAAGGAAAAAGCACTGATTAATTGTCTACTATGTGCCAGGTACTGTGCTAAGCACTTTAAAATATTATTTCATTCATCCTCACAACAACCTTGGGAGGTAGGTGCTATTATTATCCTCATTTTACAATTAAGTAAACTGAGACAGGCAGCAGTTAAGGGACTTGTCCATTGTTATGCAGCTAGGAAGTGTCTGAAGTCAAATAATTATTCAGTTCTTCCTGACTCCAGAAGGTCTGTGCACTCAATACACTGTACCACCTAGCTATCTATGAAGGAATATCTTCTAAAAATGTATTCCCACAGTTACCATGCTTATAGTTAGAAAACTCTAAACATAATGGTGGAGCAAATAGAAAGTGCTATAGAAATAGCATTGTATTTTGAATGAAAAGCTCTGGTTTCAAATCCTGACCCTCACACATAACGACTTATATAGAATTTTACTATGTATTCCACTCAGTTCTCTGGGTCTCAGTTTTCTTCATCTCTAACATAAGGAGATCAGACTTACCAGACTTATCAGACAAGACAGCAGGGTATTGTCCTTTCCACTTCTATGAGCCTATGAAAGAAATCTCTTAAAAAGTGAGATCACATTATTGGTACTATACCCTGCCTATAAAACTATCAGATTTGTTAATAAATTTACTAAATAAATCCAGATCATGGAGCTTGGCATTCCAAATGAGATTGACACGAATTCCCCTTTCATTACTGTCACTCTCTCACACAGGCTGACCAGGGTACTGAAGGGAATGTTGAAGCCACTGAACCCCTTTAAGGAACCATTGTAGGATCTGGACAGATACCCAATACAGACTTTGTAGAGAGTTCTCCAGTCATTCCACTTAAAGTCTGAATTAGATTGTCACTCAGACGGAAGATGATTCTCTCTGGGTTTAAACCTACTCACATTGATTCATGCCTTCTACATTATTAATAACCTACCTTGAAATAAACATTCCAGTGACTTTCAACCTAAAATGCTGAGTCTTAGTTAGGAGGGATTTCAGATTCAGTATCTTCCTACAGTAGGCATAAACAGTGAGGTACCTAGTTTTAGCCCTCTCTCCTCACCCATAGTTACTTTTTATTAAAAGGAGGCCAGATGAAAAGTAAAGGGAAGCAGCTTCAAAAACAAAGATTAGTATTAGTAATACTAGCTTCAGATGAGTTTAATTCCTCTACTACAGGCTAAATTATTTTGATTGCTATAATTTAAAATGATAAGGACTAGACCTTGCCTTGCAGAGTTAAGTCAAACCATATATAAGATCTACAATGGTTCTGAAGCCTTTGTTTTGGATTAGAAAGAACTATAATATCAGAATTGTTTAATGTGGGTAGAACTGAAAATATTGTTCTAGTCACTAAGAAAACACCTCTAAACTGTGTTTAAAAACTTGTTAATATATCTTTGTCATTTTCTGATCCCTAGCCATTTAACCACACAAAATTAAATCATTTGGCTGTTTATCTTCTCTCAGTCACTTAGTGTTAATGGTGGTGGGGGATGGGGGGAATCTCTTACTCCTCAAGTTGGCTTCCTAAGCTTAAGGATTCCAAGTTTCTTGAAAGTAAGTTGCCAGTCTGAAGCTTCTGCTATAGTGTGTTGGGAATAAGCCTTGGACTTGAGGTCAAGAGACATGGAGTTTGAATTTCACTTTTGACACTTAGTACCATGGGGGCAGAGTGTTACAATGTCAGGGTGTCTGAACCTCATTTTCCTCATCTGTAAAGAAATGGGGATAATAAAACCTGTAGTATCTAGAGGTTTGTGTTACAAATCAAGTGTGTGAGGCAGTTACAAACTTTAAAGTACTATAGAGCATGTCCCAGAAGTCTTAGCATGGTTTTAAGCTTATAACTACACTAAGACTTTTGGGATACAAGGTAAAAATTTTGACAAGTATTATTTATATGCAATCACTGAGGCTTCATGATCTTGAACATTTTAGGAATGATGTACCACTTGATCATTTTCAATAATCCAAAAATACTTCCCTCAAAGTAAAGAGGAGCAAAGATAAAATAGAACAGTTAAAGGACAATGATTTAAACAAATTCAGACTCCAACATACTCCCTTAAAGGGAGAAGCTTATAAAGTTGAACCTTCTACTGATGGTTGTCAACTTATCTCAGTCAACCCAAATTGTAACAAGAATAAAAATTTTAATATTGAACTTGCCCAGGAAGGGAAATTTCACCACCCAGATGCAAGCATTTTTTTTTCCTGACCAACAAAAATAAATTAGTCATCTTCTTAAATGTCTATCCATTTTGTGTCATTTGTCCTACCTCTCACAGCACGTGAGAATCTATCACCCTGAGTTACTCAAAGGTGAACAATTTTTTTCCCTCTTTACTGTTTCTTGTAGGATTTGTGGTCTAGATTGTCACCTTTCAAGCCATAATGTGTTAAATGAGAATTTTAACCAGACTAGTTCAACCTGCTCTGCTGCTGCTGCTCCTATTTCACACTAGAACTAAAAAGAAAAGTTAAGTGTTACCAGAAACACAACCTGCCCTTCTTTTCGAAAGCACAGCCCTGTTGTCTCCTAAGGCTTTCCATACTTTCCCCAAATTACATCCAAGCCAAAGGGGATACAGTCACTTAAGTAAGCTACATCAGCAGTTGCCAGCTGACCAAGTCTTTCTCACTTCAGTGTTGTTTCTTAAGGTAAAACAATCCTCTCCTCTCACTTCACTGAAATGAAAATAACCTACCCTGCCCCCCCCACACACACTGGTCTTTCTTTTTGTGGAGGTGGCAACTTAGAGACTTTAGACTCGAACAATAATGATCTCCCCCCAAAAAAAAATCCCATAAAAATATTTATGATTTATTGATGAGATGATATATTAACAATATATGTGATTATTTGATTAGGAAATAGGATGGGAACGTTGACAGTATAAACTGGGTCTTCTGGTGTATGACAAGAGGTCACTTTTGAGAAGTTAATTTCCTATCACCCAGGTATGCATCAAACACACGATCTCTTCCTCTCTAAAATGTGGCTACTCCTCCTTCCCACACCCAAAACTACCACTTCTAAGGACCACAGAAGAATATGTTTTCTTTACTTTGTGAAAACTGAAATTGCAAATATACACTAACCCAAACATCTTCCTACTTCGGTTGTATGAACCAATCCCTTTTGCTAAAGGAAATCCCTGATTCACCAGAGCAGTAGCAGGCGGGCTTGGATGGGTGGTAGGAGGCAGTGGGGAGGTGGTGATTAGAATGAAAATCAAGACATGCTGCATATTTTTCCAAGCTTAGTCCTTTCAAGGGCAGATATCAAGGTGAGCAGCAGTCCCTGTTTCACAGCACCACTAAGAGACTTGTGAATGATTGTGGAAGATTTGCACACCAGCATTAGTACACTTAGAGCTCAAGCAAAAAGGCAAAGTCCCACTCAGGAAATACATTTCAGGTCTTTTTTTTTTTTTCCTCCAGTGCAAAGTACTTGTATAACGCGCACAAAAGAAAAGCCCTGTAATGCAACGTAATGTAATAATTGCAAGACTCCCCGGCTTTGAAAGACACAATAAACATCGTCGTTCCCCCTACCTCTCCTCCTCCAGCTCCTTCTCCTCTTCTTCCCCCTCCCTCACCTCCTCCCTCTTCCAAACCTCCCCCACCAAGCCCAAGTGAAAGGCTCCTAGAAACGAAGCTCCCCGGTTTCCAGTATTCCAGCCCTTTCCTTGCCAAGCAAAAAGCAATCTCTCTTGCCTTACCTCGGGGGCTGTTTTCCTGCAAATACGGCGGGGCGGTCGGAGTGACATTTCCAGAATGGGATGCTGACAGCAAAGGAGAGCGTTCATCCACTCCATCAGCAGCCATGACTGCAGCAGGAGCTCAGCTGGGAAGAGAGGCTGAAGGGCCAGCGGCTACCGCCTCTGCTGCTGAAGCTGCTGCTGCTGCTGCTGCTGCTGCTGCTCCTACTGCTGCTGCTACTGTACCGGCTACTGCTGCTGAGAGGGGGAGAGCCCAGGATGTGTCACAAGGCGAGGAAGGGGAAGGAGGGGGCAGGGAGAGTGAGGAACCAAGGGAGGGGGAGGGGAAAGGCTTTTAAAACACTAGGGGGAGGGGAAGTTTGAGAGAAGCTGGTGAAGCAGGAGCGGGCGCCTGGGCAAAAGAACAATTAGGGATGGAGCGGGAAATGGGCGGGGAGAACAGGATGGCTCAGACTTCTGCCCTCAATGCATCTTAAGTTTACTGAACGGAGGAGGAGAAATGGAAGATCAACTGGAGAAGAGGTAGAAAGGGGAGGAAAAGTAGTCTTTCCCCGTCACTCTAGATAACTGGAGAACTACGGTAAGAAAATAGATCAAGCTTTTCCTGGAGAGAGAGCAAGGTAATTTTGGCTATCAAACCAAGGGCAATTATATGGGCAAAGTTCCATCCTGGATCTTTACTCTTTAATTTCTCAAATGGTTAAAAAAATTGCGAAATTTTTATTCATTAATGAGAAGACTGAGGATTTGTTTGTTTTTAAATGTATTTGTTCCCTAACATATTTTATGTAGGAATGGTGTTTCTTTCCGGGTTCTTTACCTACATGTATTATTAGCATCTTTGCGATAGGATTTTGTCAAGATTCAGTGTAGTAAAAGCCAACCAAAAGTCTCCCTCTATAAATGCAGCTTATTTCCTTTATTCTGAATCTGTGTGATGTTGTCACTGGTATATACACTGTAATGAAGCTTTAGAATCACACACGATCCTCAAATTCACATAATTTTTGTGGGACTGATGAAAGAATGCTCATCTCCATCCGCCTGCTGACTTCCTTGGCTTCCTTCAAGGCCCAGATAAAATCCCACCTAATGCACCTTCCTGGATCCCTCTTAATTCTAGTGCCTCTGTTCATTATTTTCAATTTATCGTATATATTGTTTAGCTTGATTGTACGTAATTATTTCCCCCAGTAGACCGTGAGTTCCTTGAGAGCAGGGACTTTCACCTGTCACTGAGGATACAAAGTATCCAGCTAGATACTTTGTGTATCTCCCTGGCTCATAGAAGACACTTAATAAATGGCTTTTTGACTGACTAAATGTTTAAAAAATAAACACCTGAAAATGGAAGTGGCTAAAAGCTAATAAATGCCTTGGTTTCTAGGTTTGATTTTATTTTATTGATTATTTGACTTTGTACAAAAATAGAATGTAAGTCTCTTGAAGGCAAGGGCTGTTTTATTTTATATGTGTAGCCTCAGGAACTTGCACAGCAATAGATACAATAGATGCTTAATAAACATTTGTAGAATTGAAATGGAATGAGAGATTTTCGGAAATACAAATATCATAGACTATTGTACAGTCCTATTAAAAAGTGATATGGAATTAGACTTGGTTCTGAGTACTTCTTCCCTGCAACTAGAGATATGAAGTCACATGGGAAAGATGAGAGAAAAAAGGCACCCAATCATTCCAGCTGTAAATTTAAAAGGGGATAGGAAAAGCCAACCTTTTGTCATTTGAAACTACTTCCAACACTACTTAAGAAAAATCCTCATTAGTCTAAGGACATATGGCATCAATTATTACCTTTTCTCCCTGAAAATCTACCTAAACAGCAGCTGTAATTCCTAAGGGAAAAATCAAAAGAATAATATTGCTAGTGTGTGCTAATGAAACAGCTGTTTGTAGCCCAGTGAAATTGGGACATCCAATATACAAGAATCTCCATGTAAGTTCTCACATGAGAAAGGAGTATGGAAAAGCAGCTGGATAGGGAGGACGTGGGCCAGAAGTGAAAAGTCCAGGGTTCAGCTTTGCCACATTGATTAACTATGCTTAGTTTACTCATTCTTTATATTCACTTTACTCAATAATTACTTCTAGGGTCCATAATTTCATAATATTTCCACCAATGTGGATTTCATCACCTTTACCATACTTTTTAATAAGAATAACAATTTTTGTATTCATTTTTCAGAAATTGCCTTACATTATTCTCAGATATATATGGCAGCAATTCGAAGGTACACAACACCAGGAAAAAATGGAACTATACTAACAGGTAAGGGAGTTCAGCTGTAGTTCTCAATATATGATCTTTCTTTGATCTCCTATTTACCCATTGTGAAATGATTGTTCTTGCCAATGCTCATAGAAACTTATGAGCAAAGTCTCTTCTGGAGAGACCATAAATATTACCATTGCGTTATTTTATCTTACCATCACAAACTTGTTTAATATGTCAATACTTTGTGATGTCATTGATAGGAGTACACCCTCCTCAACCAGAACCCTTCTTTGACTTGGATCAGCTGGTTATTGAAACCAACTGTGGCTGAAAAATTCATCACACTTTGGCCAAGTCATTAATGAACCTCTCCCTAGGCTGAGTCTCAGAGGGAAGGCATGCAGTCTATATCAGGTTGTCGTGTACACTATTATAAAGTCTTGCCAAATGGCCTGGTTGACTTAGCATTCAATGGGTATTCACCAAATGTTTGTGGAAGGCTTTGAATTTTCTTCTGACTGACCCATGTTCTAGTTTCACCTACATCTCAAGTACTCGGTTTCTTCATTGCATGGAGCTAAGCCCCTAGGACCATGTTCAATGTAGTACGAGGCAGGAAGATTTTCTCTTTTGTAATGTATCCCTTACCATTTCTGATCCCTGCACTGTGCACATATTTGATGATGACACTACTGATGGTAATCACAATCTCTGTATGATGTGTTCCAGCCTTACTTCAAAAGATGTAATGAGAATTAGAATCATATTGGAAATACCCTCCTGTAGTTTCATGGAGAAAAAATGTTTTGCTATTTAGAATCTTGTGTCATTCTGGTTTAGGTTCTCAGTAAATTTTAAATAACAATGCATTTTTATTGTCCTAATATTTTGCCGTCTCTATCTCTGAAATAAGCTAACGTTTCTTCTGAAACATTGTAGACAGATGATATGTTTGTGACTAAGAGAAGAGCAGCATGCTATGGTCCATGGAGTCGAGAAGAGTCAGACACAGCTGAACAACAACAACAAATTCTTAGGAGACATAAGCAATGTTTTTGTATGAATCAAAATTAGAGATGTGGTAGAGCTCTCTAAATGTCTTCATGCTATTAACATACTAAGTTGAATATGAAATATCAGCACCCTTCTGAAAAATAAAGTTTTCTAGAATAATCCTGAAATTTGAAACACATTTACATAAGTAGGCATTACCCAAGCATTCAATAGACACCATCTCCTACCCATATCATTTCTTTCCCCTCCCCCCTCCACTTCCCCTCCCTCTTTCATTGGACAGACAGTGCTGAGCTTGGGATTGAGATGTAGAGGTAAGAGCACAATAATCTTAGCATGTTTATGTTTTTGTTGTATGCATGAAGAAATCTATTTATATTTTACAAATAATTATATTCACAGAATTTGAGATATGGAAAAAAACCATAGCAGTCAGCTGATTCAACTTCCCACAAATGTAGGAAACACCCCTGAAAAGTGGTCTTCATCCTCTGCTTAAATGTTTCTAGTTATGGGGAAACTTAAAAGGAAATTCTGAGACAGGTAGGTAGAGTGCTGATCCTGGAGTCAGGAAGACTCCAAATCCAACCTCAAATACTAGCTATGTGACCTGGGCAAGTCACTTAACCTCTGTTGGCCTCAGTTTCCTCCAACTGTAAAATGAGGATAATAACACCTACTTCAAAGAGTTGTGAGGATCAAATGAGATATTTGTAAATGGCTTAACACAGTAGGTGCTATATAAATGCTTGTTCCTTCCCCATTCCATTTGGGGACATCATCAAATTGTTAGTAAGTTCTTCCTATTGAGTCAAAACCAGCTTCACTGTGATTTCACAGAATTTCAGAGTTGGAAGTGGCGGAGTATTGGATCCATTTCTTATAGGCTCAGGAGAGCCATTTATGAAATTTTCGGTGTGAATATTTATGCTTCAGGAAGCAGCAAATGCTATAAATCAGGTGTTCTGTTGAACTTAAGAAATCAATGGAGATAATATAATACATATTAAATTTAAAAATATAACCTGCATGCTTTTTTTGGAGAGCTGATTGTTAAACATTTGTCAGTATACTCTGGTTGGAAGGGACCATAGACATCATCTAGTCCAGGCAACACGTGAAAATGAATCTGATCTCCACTGTCATCAATACGTATGCAAATAGTCTGTGGCTGAAGACCACAAAGGAAAGGAACTTACTAGCTCTAAAGGAAGATTATTCTACTTCTGGACAACTTTTACTATTAGGAACCCAAGCCAAAATCTGTCTTCATAACTATAATTCCTGGTTATGCCCTCTGGTATGAAGAATAAATCCTTTCAAAAGATCATAGACCTAGGACTAGAAGAGTCCATCTGGTCCAATCCCTCATTTTGTAGATGAAGAAACTGAGTTCAGGGAATGTTGGTTACTTATCCAAGTTTACATATTTAGCTTCAAAAGTAGGATTTGAAACCAGATTCTCTGATTCCAAAGCCACATTGCACTTTGAGTTGTATTCTCATCCCTCTTCTATATGGCAGCCACTGAAATCACTCCATTACCAACAGTTTTTTGATACCTACAATTGTTCAGTGAGTCAAATCCACAGGATTAGCTTTTATCATTTCTCATAGTAGGATGCTATTGCAAACTTTTTCAGCATAACTGGCTCTTAAGCAACATGCTGACTCTTTGTTATTATTAATAATTATTGACAATTCATTTCTAGATTCAAGGGCAGTAGAGAAGGAACTCACACTTAGGAGAACTTAACCTAACTAAAATTACTAATAGCAAAATAAAAGATACAATGAGAATAATTATCCTTCCTGTGATCCTGAGTCCTATTTCACACAAGGCCCAATCAAGAGCTTACTTCTGCTAGGACAGCAGGT